TCGCCTCCTTTACATACATATATCTACGCATACACGCTCGTCGGTTAAGGGTACTCATAATCTGGCCCATTTTCAATGTATCGCCAATATGGTCAATAAACCTTCGTCTAGGCCGTCCCTTCCCGTCTCTGCGGTTTACTTCTGCAACATAAATTTGCTTTGTCATTCTTTCCTCGTTCATTCTTTCTACAGAGAGAGGTAGGTAGATAAGTGTAGATGAAATAATGAAAGCAATGAAAATCATGAATGCAGGTAAGGCAGCCGGTTATGATAGAGTATCACTCGAAATGCTAAGGGCTGGGAGTGTGTGGTTACAGGCCTGCTGTACACCTTGTTTAATTTATGTTGGGAATTGAAGTGGGTACCGGAAGACTGGTGCAAAGTCGTTATAATCCCAATATATAAGGGAAAGGGCTCACAGCAGGACTGTAAAAACTACCGTGGTATCAGCTTGCTTAGCATTGTGGGTAAACTGTATGCTAAGGTGTTAATTGAAAGAGTTATGGAAGAAACTGATGGAAACATTTGGGATGTGCAAGCTGGAGTTAGAAAGGGGATAGGGTGTACGGATCAAGTCTTTTCCATGCGCATGATTGCGAAAAAGTTTTTGGCCAAAAACAAGAAAGTTTTTTGTGCGTTTATGGACTTGGAAAGGGCTTATGACAGAGTGGACAGGAACGTGTTATGGCAAACACTGAACTCATTTGGGTTGAGCAGTTTGATACAGGCATTGAGGTCCCTTTATAGGGACTCTAGTGCTTGTAAAAAAAAATCAGGTGTTTACAAACTTGTTTGTGATGAATGCAACGCCGTTTACGTGGGTCAGACTGGTCGCAGTTTCGAGACACGTTTTAAAGAGCATTTAGCCGCGTACAGGAATTGCAATCCCGATAAATCCCATTTTGCCAAACATCTTTTGGACACTGGACGCAACCTAGCCAACGACCACTTCTTTAAAGTTTTACATACGTGTAATAAAGGGCTGCGGCTGTGTGTGCTGGAACAGTTAGAGATATTAAAAAGTAATAATAATACCGTTGCATTGCTGAATGAACAAACAAATGTTACTAACTCACCTCTCTTAAATATCTTCAAGCCTGCTCTCTAATAATAGAGAGCCTCGCAATATGGTCGTTTGTCACCCTCACGGTGATCGGCGATTGGTTGCGTGGTTGGAGGGTAGGCGTTGCGCGGCAGTTTGTTTTACAAACGGCTGCGTAAGTCCAGCGGTGATTGGTCGCATGTTTTATCGCATGACGCAGTCGCTCGCTCCTTAGGTAGAGAACGGTTGCATCATCGGTTTGTATAAAAGGCACTTGTTTTGGCTCGCCGCTCACTTAGCGGTTAGCCACCGTAGAGTCTATATCACCTGAGGATGCCTCGTGTAGAGGCGAAACACGTGTCGTATTATCGTCAGTGGTGTGTCTTGCCTAGTGTAGTGGTGCTGGGATTAGTGGTGACGGGGATAGTGCACGCAATTGAGGGAGGGCGGGAGGTGCTCTTCATACTAGGTAAGACACATCATTTTATTTTATAACGCGGATATTTGCGAAGTAAATTTTTGTAAAAGCTTTTATATAATGGATTTCCGCAAAATAACGCCTGATTCTATTAATTATATCTAGTGCTTGTGTCAACGGGGTCTACTCAGACTGGTTTGGCATTCAAAAAGGCATCAGAACAGGGCTGTGTAGCTTCCCTGTGGCTGTTTAACCTATTTATGGACAGTTGTTTGCAAACTTTGAAAGTTGAAGAATGTGGGTTGAGAATCGGTGAGTTAACCGTCAAATGCCTTTTGTACGCCGATGATCAAGTCATATTTGCATCGTCGGCGGTCGAGTTGCAAATGATGGTTACTTTAATGAACTGGTCATTAAAAGAAAGGCGTATGAAAGTGAACGCAAGTAAGACGAAAGTGATGGTTTTTGAAAGAGAAGAGAGTAAAACGTTATGTGACATAAGAATAGAAGGGGAGTTGATTGAGCAAGTGGATGAGTTTGTTTATTTGGGATGTTTATTTAGCAGGTATGGTAGATATGATAAGGATATAGAACGACGAATAAACGCAGGAAATAGAGTGAATGGGGATCTACATGCTATTATGAAGAGTCAGAATGTGTCAAATAAGGCACGTATGGCAATTAATAATGCCATGTTAGTCCCTACTTTGATGTATGGTAGTGAAATTTGGGTCTGGCAGAAGAAGTATGAGAGTAGAATAAATACTGTAGAAATGCGGTCATTAAGAAGTATGCTAGGACTGAATCTGAATGACAAGATGAGAAATAGTGTTATAAGAGAAAAGTGTGGTTTGAAAGATGACGATGTGACCAGGATTAAGAAAGGAATGCTTCGGTGGTTTGGTCACGTAGAAAGAATGAACAGGGTCATTGATAGTAAAATATGTCTTATAAATCAGACTTTATTACACAATACACAATTTTATTGCAGACATTATAAAACAAATGGAAATATTTTATTTCTATTGGCAAATCGGGTGATAATATTTGAGACGTCTGGGCCAATCTTCGGATGTATATTTAGAAGAGCTAAACCTGACAGCCTCGCTTCTAACATGTTTGCTATCAACCAAGTTTTTACATGCCTTAGCGTAGAAAATGATCTCTCTGATATCGCACCGCTTATAGGAAGAGTTGCCAGAATTTTCAGCAGTCTTAATTATATAGGATAAGGGTGACAAGCGAGGACACACTGTGGCCTATCCTCGTTTTCGAATGAAATGCAGATTCATTGTCAGCCGTGAGGACTAAGATGGAATGCCTCTTTTCTAGTAAAAAAGTCTCCAGTTCTCTACACTTACCAAACGAAACACAGCAGCATTAAGCTACTATTTTACGCTGGTATTCTGTGAGAGCGTGGTCCTTCCCCGGTCAAGCCGACCCAATTGTGCTACAACTATAGTATTAATATAACTGTAGCATGGTTCTACCACATATAATTTTTATATTTATATTTGGGTAGAGATCATCGACGCAAACTTCGATTGTAGAAACCACACAAATTTTGTATCAGTACTTTCTTTGAGCTCCCGTTTCCACTTTGAAATCCATAGCTGATACTCTGTAACGAGAGTGGCAACAGGAACCCTCACGAAATGGGAATAACATTCTGATACTTTCTTCACATTAAGAAGATCTTCTGTATATTCAGATTTTGGCAAAAATGCCTAATCCGGGTTTCAGCGTATCCCCAGAAGGCCGCTCCTGTAGGTCACTCATTATGCTATCTATCAGTGGAATATAAACATTTCTCCGAAAATATACCTCGTCATTTCCTTGATTATCGCGAAGAATCTGTCAGTAATTTTAAGGAGATTTTTCAATTTGATGTGTACGATGTGGGGAGAGGGGGTCATGTCCCCTGTGACCCCCCACCTTCAGCCCGCGCCTGATGTGAATAATGGTTTAGAGCGAGTTTAAGTACGTTAAAGTGGTGCAATTTTGTATATTAAATGTCGGCGCATGTTAACTATTAGTGGTATAATCCCAGGTTTTTTTAATCCACTTAGAGGCCTTAAGCTATTATCATTATCTACGATCCGTTGAGTTAAGCTGGCTGTCGTCAAACTATCCCAAGGACTTCACAACGTGACATATTATCACAAAATAAATAATAGTTAAAAGAACAGAAGGATCACTCTCTGATAGCAAACGTGCGAGTTTAAAATTAGTTACAACGTCGCTAATGTTTATAATATTTTGCACGCCTCGGAAGTGACCTTCGTGAAATTAGTCCATCGTTCATTTCGTAGAAAAGAAATAATGTGGCGCGCGTATTTAATCAAAATGTACCTTGCGTCCACGTGCAAGTGTCTGTATCATTTAACCTATTACGCGCCTTTGTTAAGACCGCTTCTACTGTAGGGTTAGGTGTTATGAGAAAACAAATTGAATCATTTGATATTAGTTCGTATATAGTAGAATACACCAAGGTGTTATGCAATGTTAGTATTTCTTTTATTTATATTTATTTTGTTAGAAAGAAAGTTACTGCTACACTATGATTTTCTCCTTTATCGTGGAGGCAGTTAACAAACATAAATTGCACAAGGACAAATATCTAGACCCGTAACAATTATTTTTAGGTCATCCAAATACTTGTACCGTGCGGGATTCGAACCCGCGGTCCTTAGCGTTGCAACTCATTACTAAGCAGTTGTCTGATTCACATTTTTTGATATTTAAAAACATGCTACACGTGACTTCATTATTAATGATAAAGTGGCAATGAGAAGTGCTGCTACTTTCAATCTCTGTCTTTTATCGACCAAGTGTTAAATTGATATCTTGTATATGCTCATCTTGCATTAGTAGGCAATCACTAGTACTGGGCGGTCTACTTAAATTGAACGTATTTTTAAGGCCATTGACGTTATACGCGAAAAAATCAAAAACTGCGAAGCTGTGGTCGACTCACTAATCAAATAATAAATCTGTAACTATGGCGTCAGTAACTGAGTACCTAATTATCTAGATCTACCTATAAATTAAATAATAACCTTTCGTTGCCCTTAGGAAAAGTTAAAAATGAAAAGTCGACATTCTTCTTTGAGCACCCGTATGCTATGCAGTACCTTTTAGCTGTTTGAGAGGCCACACTTGAATAAAAACTCGAAAATAAATATCAAATGTGCCTAAATACTTATTAGAGAAAAAATATTTTTATGTTAACGTATGGCACACGTCAGCTCTAGTAGGCGCATGATAATCTCACGGAATTAGCCTCATGTAGACTGCCGCCCAGCGTAGGTATATTTTCATGTCTAAAGCGCGGAGTGAGACCAGCCTGGTATTATCATATTGTGAAGAGTTTTGTGAACAAAATATTAAGCAGATTCGACTGTACGGTCTAAGACCTTTGCCTATCGTAATTGGCAAATCATACGATCGTTTTTTTGCATTTTTTTGGAAATGTCAAATTTCTGAAGTATATCTATTATCTATGGACTCTATTGATTGGTCGACGAGGAGATGTAAAAAATGGCTGCCTTGCCCTCTCCTACTCAGGTAGAATATAAAATAAATATATTGTTTTTACAGTTTTGTTGTCAATATTCTATCGCTTAAAATAAAGTTTATGAAATTGGCAATAATTCTGTGCAGTAAAATCATTCCGTCGCGTGTCGTATTTTCGAAATAAATCCTGTTAAAGTGTAATGTACAGGTTTCGCTGGTTTAAAAAATGTATTATGAAGAAATTTACAAAAAAATCTTTCCATTAACCAGTCAAATCTTAGTGATGTGAACGACTTTTGTGATTTATTAAATTTTTATCACCATTTCTTTGTAAATTGTCCTTCAATTTTAACAAATTTTGCGCGAACATTAAATGTCACACCCATGTAACGCTCCTAAATACATGATTTAGACGAGATTTTCGAGTGTTTTTGGCATTAAAAATGTGGCTTAACGGATTGCAGGTGGCAGGGACCCACAGTTCTATATACGAAGCCTACTACCATCAGGTAAGTGCGAAATCAGTTCCTATGATAACAATATTACATAGTCAAACAAGATCGATTTTTATGGGTTAATACATTAAATTAAATAGATTAGTCGTTACTGTTGTTTATTAATCGAATCAAACAAATTGTAGACAATAGCATTAACTAATACGAAAATTACTTACAAATTTAGATGACCCAACATATGCTGCTTTTTAAAGATCACCTTGTTTCTCTTCTAGCTTAGTGTTATAAGAAAATGCTATTGTAATTATCTAGTTCATTCAATCTTAGCTCATATATATATAGTTAAATATTATTGATTTTTTGTTAAGTAAAACTTAAATAAACCTATTTAATATTATTAAAACAAAATACTATGCAAAACATAGCAACTATTTGCATCTAGGATTTCCATATTGATTAATAGGCTTACATAGATAGGTTGTAATACAACTGCATACTTACATTAATTTTATGATTCTTTTGGGCTACAGTATATATTTATTATCAGGGGGTCTTAGATCTGTCATAGTTTTGTTTCATAAATTTATTATAATTTAAAGGCTACCTTGATAGACTATTAATGTATTAAAGGTTAGGCTAGTGGTTGTATTATGACTGCATCATGAATGGGTTGGGTTGACCGGGGAAGGAATACATTAATAGAATCCCATCCTAAAAAGCAGCATAATGCTACTGTGTTTTGTATGGTGAGTGTAGATAAGGGAGCCGTTTTAATGGTAAAGATGCATTTTATTTTAGTTTTTAGGAGTAATGAATTTGCATTTTGATTTTGAATCAAGAATAAACTTAGGTGTCAGACAATAGCATTTACTTACTATCAGGTGGCAGTTACTAGGTTGTAACAAATTGCATACATACATTTCTTGTAATCTAACCGAAATGGAGTCCTTTGAGCATTTTGCTAGTCATTCTTGAGAGAGTTACTTTTTCTCCATCAGCCCGTAAACTTCACAACTGGATATGGGCCTGTATTATTGCAGGATTTGTCTTAATTTTCATGCTTTGGAGATGGATTGACAATCACAGCCAGACATCCTGCACTTAAAAATAATTTAAAGTCAAAATTATTTAGATTTTTATTTAATTATTACTCTATCTTATTCACATTTACTACATTCCGTCAATGAATCAATATTGATTTTTCTGCCTTAGATAGCCTTATGGTGGATGTTGAAATATGAGATGAATACCATAAAGCATAATAATAATATGAGGTACACTACTAGGTTTTTATGTGGTAGAGCCACGATGCAGTGGTTGTAGCACAAATGGCCGACCCATTTGTGTGTCTAGACCGGGGTAGGACCACACTCTTAAAAGTTTTTTTTTACCCTCTTGAGTGGGCTAAGGAATATTACAATCTTAATATTGCCTAATTGGTTACATTTAAAACTTCATCACCCATTTTGCCACCCTTAGCAGGGTAGCAGTATTTAACCAAATTTAAATGGGACCAATCCTGAAGTATATATAACCTATTTAATAAAAAAAAAATCATCAAAATAAAACAATTTAATGCCATAGCAAAGTGCAATGTGAGACTAGCAAATTTTAAGAGTTATTATGTAATTTGGTATAATGCCAAATATATAATATGTCATTTGCTATCATTTTTATGTGAAGAAAGACCTACATAAGAATTGGCTTAGTTAAATGGGTAAGGGGCACTAGAAAATGTCGTAGTTCTAATTAATGTGTACAAGCATGCAAAATATATCCCTAGTTCTGATTTGTAGTAACCAATCCCCTGCAAATTATAGGACTTTTGGTTTCAACTCTCGTCAGAGTAACCTATTTTTGAAATGGTATTAGATTTCCTTGACAAACTAAGTTTAATTTGTTATGGGAATATTTTCTGCGTAGGTACCCCAATCAGCAGTGCATGCACTGCAGTGTTTATGGGTGTAGAGCCAATTACACCCTGTGAGTCATTGATTCATCTTACTCAGGGCTGATAATAAATCTGTAACCTTCCTTTTTGTTAGATGTTAAAATATTTAGCTAAGGTCCATATAAAAAGCCAAGTATTTTTAACGTCTTCTTAAATAATATCCATTCATTACAATCCTTCACGAGTACACTGCAGAACAATGGCCTCCCCAAGGAACGCCACAAAGCACGGTCCTGAGTCACTGTATTCAATGACTTCCTGCATCTCTTACCAGGTTGTCAGTCTGTCAAGTGGGGGGCCAATCTTCACTTCACTTACGAGTACAAGGTTGCCACATGACAACATTTCTTCCCCATCAGTTGCTGGTTCTTTGAGTTATATGGCCAGCCTATTGTCACTTGAGCTTACTTATCTGTTGGGCTATGTCTGTTACTCTAGTTCTACTGCAGATATCCTAATTTCTAAGTACCATCTACCACCGAGCACAGCCCTCTCAATAGTAAAGGACCACATCTCACGTTCATATGTCATCACTGGTAACACACACTGGTTTTACAATCTTGTTTTCAAGCTTTGAGGTCATATGTGATGAGAAGATGTGTAATGCTATCTCCGGAAGGCTGTCAAGCTCAGTTGACTCCGTTGATTGACCTTGTGATTGAAGTTGAACTTACCTGGTTGTACAATTTGTCCTAGGTAAACATACTCGTCGAGAACTTCCTACTCCCAAACCCTACCGGCATAGCATGACCTTTGTTTTGTCCATGTTCATTTTAAAACCTATTCGTTGGAAGACATTTTTGAGGTAATGAGTATAGTGCTGACGTTGCCATAAGGAATATATTGTCGACAAATCGAAGGTGAGTGATGTACTCGCCATTGACGTTAATACCGTATCCTTTCCAGTCCAGTAGCTTGAAAGTCTTCCAATGCAGCGATGAACACCTTGTCTTACACCTCTCTGAAGTTGGATTGTTTCCATACTCTGGTTCTGTACTCGGATAGCCATTGTAGTTCTATTGTACAAGCACTTCAGCCTTACGATATACCGAAATTCAACTTGGCGCCGATGAAGGGACTGCAGCACCGCCTAAATTTCGACGGAATCAAGGGCTTTCCCATAGTCTACATACACAAGGCATTTGTTTTTAAGGTGCGGGATAGCATTCTAGTCTCGCTCAGACTGACGTCTGGGATATCATCGGAATAGTGTCGGAGGAGACTTGCCCCTAGATAGTTACTCTTTCGTGTGGCTCCAACGATGACGTATTCAGCTGCCGTAGAACCTCTCAATTTCACTAAAAATCTAAGATTTTCCCGAAACTATGCCACCACATTTGATCTTCAACTTCCACAGTTGGAACACAGATCTATGGCAAAGACTGGAGCCTTGGTTTCGATTCATCGTTTCTTTAATACGAGCTGTATTGAAGTTGCATAATACTCGCCGCATTCATTAGGAGATCTCTCTCTGCAAACAGCCTTGAGATTAAGAGTGTGATCGGAGAGTTTTTAGGTTCTCCTGCGACGGGTCTTACAGAACTTAGCTCTGATCGCATGAACAGTTTTCACGAGCTTGTCATTTATATCATCCACTGTATTGCTATCTTTTAGGCATTGAAAACGTTTTTGTTATTCGAACGGAACTTCTTCAGGGCTTTGGATTAGAGATTAAACGTGATCCAAGTGACCCGCTGCTCTTTCGACTCTGCCTACCCTCTCAGGTATAACAGACGTAACATATATGCATGTATAAATGGCATGCCTTAAACGCGAAGCGCTCAGGTATGTTCAGGTATATTAAAAAAAAAATTACATTCTAAATCAAATCGTCTCTCTTTCTTAAGAAAAGATTTGATTACTTCCGCGTAAAATGTTAGTGAACGTTTTAATTGTACTATGAGTAAAAATTTTTTTTCAATTGTGATAATTGATAAATCTGAGAGACGCTCTTGACCTTGTGTATTTCTCAAATAAGTATGGATGTGCTTCAGAGATGAGCTGTTTTTTCTCAACAAAAATGGGTCTAAAAATTAAGATTCCATCGTTTTCATATTATACATATAAATGATATAAAAAGCACATTGTCAGAAAGATAAATGATTGTTGAACTTATTAATATTTTTTTAAATCGACTAATTACTATTTTTACATAAAAAATGGGTTTTAGTGGCTTATGGTGTGGATTTATCAAGTCCGCATGGCGGCGTAAACACGATAACTTTTGAAAATATCAATTGTTCAACTCAATCTATTTTTAAAACTCTTCGTCTGCCATGTGGGAAGCTATGGAATGTAAATGGCAGTTTAATTTTGTTTTGTTTAGTTATAATTAATTTTTTTAGGCTAAGAAATGGCAAAATATTTCGGTGGTTTGAGAGCCTTGTATTAATTTATTTTACTAAATAGGCCGCAGCCGCGGAGTACTTTATTTACTCCGGGCTTAAATGCCGTCGTGAGTGGTGGTTTGTTACAGCGGCTCGTGCAGAAAAATATCGATCGCCGTAGAAATAAAAAAATATTCCAAAAACCAAAGAGCAATGGCAGAAAAATAGTTGACAAAAATTATAGCGTCTAGAAATAAGTTATATATAAAAGGAGTTTTATTAATTTTCTATGATTTTTCAAATAAAAATGTATTTTAATTAAAGCCACAGAAAAAAGCAAACATTTTTGGGAATATCAAATGACTGATATCATTTTACTCTATTCAAATGTTGCCATTTAGTATATTCCTACTATTTTCGTATACACTTTGTAACACTACCAACACAACACACAAAATATTTTTATATTAAGTTATTATTAGTAACAACTGTACTATCAGTAATAACAAAAATAAAAGTAATATGGCTGGGAATAAGTCTCTTACAAAGAATTTCCTACAATAATACATTATTTCAATCATAGTACTATGTAACAATTCCATTTAATGTTATGCCAACACTAGCTAAAATGTCACTGTTTTTATTTACTGGCTTTACGTAGATAGAGGATTGACCTTTACGGCTCTGGGTTCTAGCCCTTCTGATAATGTCACTATGGTACAAAAGACCTGGAGCCATGCCAGAAATATACATTTATAGTATGTAAATATATAATA